ATTCTTCTTTGAAAATGCCATTTCAACTCATGAAACAATTGCAACATATTGTTTACATTTTGATGTAGTGTGAGTTTGAGCCTCATCTTTGGATAAACAACATAAACAACACATATGGAGTATGTGCAAACTTTCATTTGGCTGTAAACATGTTTGTTTTGTACTACAACTTTGAAAATGCATTTTGAAACTGGCCTGCATTTGTCATCATGTTTTACTTTCTGAGCATCATTTGTGAAAACTGATGGCATCATTGTAATCCTCATTAAATTTCAAGTGAGTTAGAGTTAAATTTTGTTAAAATTGATTAAGATTTGATCAAGTTTGGATCCAATCCGTTTTTACTTGCCTTGCTTGGTTTGCCTTGAATTCTTGCCCAAATATTTAGACCTTGGAGGTTTATATATTATTGGGGTTTCTTGATACACTGGATATATCGCCACCCCAGGGGTTATGCTTGTGTACTCATGTGCTTTCTACCCTTGCCATCCTGAGTTCGATCCTTGCGGGACAACTCTTTTATAATTTATTTTGATTTTCATCATGTTTTGTATTTCAACTCTCTCTTCCATAATATTTCACCTGCTCACATTAGCTTGATTGGTATAGGTTTTAACCTATGAACTACTAGTCACGGGTTCAATCCTTGGTGAGGCATTCCCTTCTTTTTTAAACACTAGTTTTCATTATTTTTCTTCCAAAGAAAAACTTCAAAAATTCAAATTGGCATAACTTTGTCATTTTTTCTCATTTTTTAGTGACTGTTTTTTCACTTTGTTCTTCATCTTGCCTATTTTCATATAGTGATTAAATATTTCAAGGATTTATATCCTAGAAATTATTTATATATTAATGAAAGTCTTGTACTGTTTTAGGTTTGATTTGCACTTGATGTGTACATTTTTGATAACTCATTTGTGCACTTGAATTTTGCTTGAATCAAATCTTGTTGCATTCAAAACCTTGCTTGTGATGCATCTAATATGATTACCATTGTGAACTATGTTTGAGAATCATGCTACCTCTAGATGTTGTAACCTCTTGATTAAACTTTTCATTTGTTCCCCCACCTATCTAGATGTCTTGTTAGAACTTATCTATGTTAGGATTTACCTCAAAGATATTACATTTACATTTAGCTTGTGTGAATTGTATTTTTCTTTTGGTTTTCCCTAATGGTTGTTACCTTATTGTTCCTCATTTTTGTTAAGATGTCTTCAAGTTGATGTTATCTTACTTGTGGTCTTATAAGAACCTCTACCATGTTTCCTCCCTAGATATTGTAATATATTTGTACTTTATATGGTTGTAACCATTTAACTTGATTGTAATCTTTGCCTGATATTCTCATATGCTTGCAGTCTCTTAATTGGTTGTTACCATGATCTTTCATATGTCTATCATGTTTGAATGAATGCCTATTTGTGCTTTTAGCTTTGTTAAGTTATCCCCTAAGTGATGGAACTTGTTAGTTCTCATCCATTTGCCTCATCTCTTTCCATTCCAAAGGAAAGTCTCTCTATTGACCCTTGGGTCATAGGCAGCTCATTACCCTCCCTCTGACTTTGTTAAGTCACCTTGAACCATAACTTAGTTAAGTTAGAACCTATTAGCCATTAGACTTTGCTTAAGTCTAAACGACCCACCTTTTACTAGGAGTGTTCTTCAACTAGAACCCTAGGATAGAGTTTGTCAACTCTATGTAAGAATCATTGTCATGATTACTTACTCCCCTATTGGCTTTTGTCAAAGTCAAACTTCTTGAGTGTTCAATATAGATCTAGAGAGTTTTGTTAAACTCTATATAAGAATTTTTATGTTTGTTCCCCTTTAAACCTTGATCATAATCAAGAGTTCTTTATCCTCAGTGAGGTGAACTGGATGCTCTGATTCTATCCTAGTTAGGATACGTAGGCAGAGGATTCGATATCTTTGCGAGCAAACTTAGAAACTATCTTTAGGTCTTTACCTGTACCTTTTACCCCAATCCCAGACCATAGCAAAACATTTAGCAAACTTAGCATACAAACATACAAAAGGTTCCTGTAGAGTACTACAGATGTTTAGGATGTGAAATACCTACCCTAGGCATAACCAACCCTCGATCCCCGATCTCTTAGCATTGTTGTTACATCATGCAAAAGGTCTTTCTTTATTTAACCTTTCCTTTGGATAAATCAAAGTCCATTTGTGAATTTAATGAATTAAGATTCAAGTTAATCAATAGCTTGGTATCACGATTCTCACCGTAACAGGTGACACTCTTCCAATGCCTCAATCCTCATGATCTGGTTGAGGATTAGGGGTTAGTTTTATTGAGAACCTCGAGGAGGGTCGCCATGGCCTGGTTGGCGTTGGGCGGAACTGGAACTGGCAGGTATTGTTGGACAGGTGGGGCTCCATCCCATTGTCGGAGGATGTCGCTGCCATGAGAGGTGGTGGCTCCATCAGCATCAGTCTTGCTGACATGGAGGAAAGCAGAGTTACCAGCATCAAGATTGTTGTCACAGGCAGCCATGATCAGAAAATTGAAGAATTGTTTTTAGTCTTGTGTTCTACGAAGAGAGAAAAGACGGGGATAACAAGTTTCCCGCAGACGGCGTCACTGATCTTACCGAATGATCAGAACCTAAGATGGGCCAAAGACAAACGTCTATGATGCTGGGTGTGAAAGAAAAGGAAGGGGTGTACTTGCAAGGTACTCCGATGCTAAAGTAAGAAAACGAGCAAGAGAGCGAGCAAGTACAAAACATGTGTGTTTTAAGGAGAAAAATTGGATACCTGACCCTCTCAAATGAGAGGGTTTTTATAATTCCCTCAGTGCTTGGCCATTGGTCCCTATTTTTGGGGCGAGATAACCGTTTTCTGAAGATTAGGTAACTTCCAGAAATAGCCGTTGGGACGGGCAGACATGCCCATAACTAGCCGTTGGCACGGGCAGGGGTATCGTTATGGGCACAAGCGTCTTGGTTGTTTCTGGATGGTGGAACCGTGTGTGACAGTCAGAGACTAACAGGGAGAAGCGTTGTGACCAAGGGTAAATAAGTCAACTTCCCTTGTTGGAGGGGCAGAAAGGTAAACTTTCCCTCGAAGAGGTTGGACTTAGGAACTTGGGCCGTTCTGGAAGCAGAAGTGGGTTGGGTCATGCCTAGCCATTGAGTCAGTCCGGAACAATAACTATTAGGGAACCCACTTCGAATCCATGTAACTTCATTTAAGATTTTTTTTCAATGATTTCTCACTTAGCGCCTTCCTTTTTTTCTTAGTTAATTTTATTTTTCATTTTTTTCTTATGAATTAGTAATTCTAAAAAAAAGTTGTTATCAATAAAAATGAATAGGTAATAATATGAAAGGAAATGTTTTATTAATTAAAAATAGGACAACAAATAACTATTTCACATATTCAAATTTCTGATTCCAGTCAACTTAAATAGTATCACTATTAATTATCTCTAATTGAGAAAAAAGTTCAGAAAGAACTCTTCCATATGGTATGAGAAAAGTCATTTCTCCCCTAGAGATGATTATAATTTCCTTTAAGAAGTTAAAAATGGTAAGAGGAAGATTAACTATGATGTTCTTGGTAAGGAATAACATGAGATACGACAGACATTGTCATCAGCCTTCCTCCATTTAAGTTTAATATCAATAACTAGTAATTTCTCTAATTCTAATAAGTGAATGAACTCAGTAATATCCTCTACTTCCTTCGAATTACTCGCACCAATCTTGTTACTCTTTTCACTAGAATTTTTTACAGCATTAAAATCACATCCAATACACCACTCTCCCTTACCTAAAGATAAATTCTTCTCAATTAATTCACTCTAACACTTTCGCTTGTTATCATTCATACACGAGGAGTAAACGTTAACGAAAAAACAAATCTTATCAGACCAATCTGGATACAACCCTACAAAACCTTCACCTTGAAAACTGAATATAGGGGAAACAACTCCAGACCTCCAAAGAATCAACATATCTCCTGATTGACTAACAAAATCTTTCGCAGTCTACTCAACTTCTTTGTCACCCTAATTACTTTGAGCCATGAAAATATCCATTTTCTTCAATTTTATCTCCTGCAAAAAAAACATGTTTGCTTTCCCTTTGTGAAGAATATGTTGAATCCTCTTCCTCTTCAAAGGATTACCACACCGTCTCACATTGAAAGAAACTAAAATAATTGGATATCTTTAATTTTGATCACCCTCTTACTCTTCTCCAGTTTATCTCTCTGCTCCATGGATCGAATTTTACCTTTATAAACATCTTCCTAATCAACCCTTTCAACACCTAATTCTTTGATAGCTAGCCATAATTTTCCCACCAACAAATATTCATCTTAAGCTAGAAATCTATGATTGCCTTGCCTCAAATCAGAGTTTGTCGTTTCATCACAACACAGGATGGATCCTTCCGAGAAAATGATATTTGAATCAGAAGAAGAAGAAAACTTCGACTCGATAGCCACTGGTAAACACAACTCCAAAGGGAGGATTGGAATTCTCTTGTGAGGAAGCATAAACATAGCTAATAATTTAGGGAGTTTAGAACTTGTGCACTTTCTGTTATTGATACCACCCGCCTTGACCATTTCCTTAGAATAACCTTTGGGCCTCAGAACAAATGTTTTTTTTTAAACTTCTCTTTATATGGGCCTTGTGATAAGCTTTCCTATTCTTTTTTTTATCCACTAAAATATGGCCCTGATCAAATTATATCCTGGCTAACCCACCAACATAAGATGTTGACTTTGCACCTCCTTCTGATTCCTCTAGAGAGGAACACCTGTCCATCTAGCCAACTTCCACCTTATTCTCAGGCCAACTCTTTGATAACACCACAATGAAAAGATCGAGAAGAGCCAACATTATTCACTTCTTCCAAATCATCAAAAAAATCCTTTGGGACAGAAAGAATGCCTCCTTCTTTGGTACTATTATCTGCGATATTCAAAAGGTTTTTCTGCAACCTACTATACAACATACACATTATTTACTCTAGCTCTGTATCTTCCTTGATATCGTCTTTATTGGAATCTAAGAAAACCACCAGAACCTCCTCTTTGTCGGAGCTGCTAACAAAACCCGAATCGGCCTCCTCCTCCCCAAAAGTAACGACCTTCTTCTCCAGTACCATTAGTCTTAAAGGCCCTATGCTGTCCTCCATGATTTTGATATGAAACTCCACTCCATTGATATTAATCCTCAACACCTCATTTATCACCATGGCACAACTCGATATAACCATAACCCTGGCTACATTAAAAGTATTTTGCTTCATCGTTTCTTCATCAGAATAAATGTAGTTACAAAAGGGCTTACAAAAAACTCGGGTTCCATGCAAAGCAAGGGATACCGAAACACCTCAGTAAAACAACTCTTTCCCTATTAACTTCTTCCTCTTTCCACAGCCTAATGACTTTAAACCATTTTTCCAACCAATTGCCACCATATTATAATAAGGCTTGGATCTCCCTTTCAACTAGTTCTTCAAGTAAGCAAGAATTGGCTCATAATGGAGTTGCTTTCAAAGAAAATAACTTTCCATGTTAAAATATTTTTGAATATTATAAGTCGTTCCTGGATTTGACACATCCCTTACATAAGCCTTCTTAAACCGACACAAACTCTCTGAATCCACCTAAAAAATCCTGGACTTAAAAGGATCAGACGAAACCAATGGAACGCCTTCCTCCTTAGAATGCACCGCCTGTGCGTAAGATAATTTCGTGTTAAAACCTACAAAAGTACCCTCCTTCTGCTGTCTAAACTCTGGCTCCGCAGTAAACCCCCTCTTATTTTCAACAACCTTCTCCTTGTAAAAGGAAGAAGTCTCTACCTTACCCCCCCTTTTCCCAAGATCTTTGAAACCTGGGAATGTTAGCAAACAACTTGTTTTTTCTAAAGAAAATATTATCCAACTTAGTGACCAAAACCCTAGCTTCCTTCACATTGTTGAATCTTATGAATCTGTATCTTCTGCCTAGTTTATCCCTTTTTGGAAGGAATGAATACCTCTTCAATCTCACCATACTCCTTGAACACCCCGAAAAGATATTTCACCCTAATCCTCTCTGGGAACTCGGTTATGAAGAAAGTCTCTACAGTCTTAGAATGACTTTCTTCATCCCTACTTTTAAACTTACCCACCTCTTTGTTCCAACAAAAACCTTGCTTACTAAAACTATATGCCTTCTTTCCTTTCTTCGAACGCTTCGGCACTTTAGTCCATTCTTCCTCCTCCTTGTTATTGTTGAGTTGCCCTGTTGTTTCGTCTTCACTCTGGCTGTGTATCTTGTTTATACTTGCCTTAATAACATTTGCAGTGTTGGCTGGAATGGTGGAATCCAGTACTGTGTGTTTGCCTTTGCGATATTTGTACATCACAACTATGAATCAGGATAAGATACATGAACTCTATTTTGGTATAATAAGAAAAGGATTTCAGGGTTGCTTGGATTATAAGAAAAAAATAAAAATTATAGTGTTTAAGATTTGGTCGTGATTTATAAGTGTTGCCACTTAAAGAAGAAATGATCACATGTTCAAAATTGTAGTTTAAAGTGAATAAAAGACATTTCTGTTATCCCAACGATTACGAAATCGTGTTTCAAAGTGAATAGTAAATAGACGACGGTTATGTTACGCCCACATTTCAAAAACATAGCTTAAAGATAATACACCATGATTTTTAACAGAAAACTAAAAATTTGACAACATATAAAAATATATAAAAATGTGTGGCATGTTACCCTTTAGACAACATATTTTATGTCATTGTTTATTCTTCTGTTCTCATATATATTAAAATTAATTGAACAATTATAAAATAATATTTTAAATTATAAACAACACTAAAAAAATTCAAAGCTTTTGTTATTTAACTATGCAAAATTATAAATAACTAAAAAAGCTTTAAAAATTATACAAAATTATACATCTTATAAATTATTTTATCTCGTCATCATAATTAAAGACTTGAAAATAATATATTTACATTTTAAATATTTTTATTAAAATATGTATTACTCTAATATATATATATATATATATATATATATATATATATATATATATATATATATATATATATATATATATATATATATATATATATATATATATATATATATATATATATATATATATATATATATATATATATATATATATATATATATATATATAATTCACTTGCTAATTTTAAAACTTAAATCATTCGATCAAGATCAGATGATCACAATAATGAATGCATAAATACATATGCATTCAAAAAAGGACAGAAAATATAATGTAAACAAAATAAATAACATCAAAAGTTTAACGGATAACTAGCCACAATTTAAATATTAATAAGATGTATCACTTTCAAATAAGGACAGAAAATACAAAACAAACAAATAAAAAAAGCAAGGAAGCTAACTTGGTTGGCAGGAAGGATATGCTATGAATCTTCCTTTGATTGTAGGAGCACTTTTCAAGGATTCTCAATTATTTTAAGGAAGTTTCTACGTTTCTACATAACTTTTTAATTACTATCACTATTCTTTGTAATAAAAAAATTAAATAAAAAAAAGTGGAGAGGTGTTATAATTTTTATATTTAACATCCAAACAGGTGTCATAATTACGGTGATAATTATAATTTACAAAAAAATTGAATAGGGTATAAAATTTGTCTAATTTGTGTTGTAAAGAAAATATTAATAAATACTTTAAAGAACTCATCAAAACTTGAAATGATTAGCTTTTTGAAAGAATATGACACTCGTTAGCAAAGAAGAAGAACTGTATTTTAACTAATTAATAACACAAATTAATGAACTAATTAAAAGGGTGAGTGAAGAAGTTTAAATGGACCCAATGACTTTAAGAATATTGCTGTTTTTATTTTCTGCTTTGGTCTGTTTACACACTTATGAATTAAAGTTTTTATTATTCAAGTGACTTTTTCTAACATAATAGGGATGAATTGTGTGATTGAAAATTAAAATTTAATTATTAAAATTCTAATTAAAAAAATATTTAAGTTAATTTTATTAATTAAATAAAGATTAAACAATAAAATAAATAAAAGGAAGAGAAGTTAAGTGATGAAGAGAAAAAGAACCTACCATAGAAAAAAACAAAGAAAAATAGAAAGATAAAAGATAGAGAATATTAAAAAGAGATTTATATATGTTCGGCCTAATCACTTGCTAACTCCTTTTTTTTTAAGAGTTTATTATTAAACTTTTTTATTATATAGAGTCTTGAATTTTTCAAATGTTATGTCCATAAATCTTACAATCAAACGAGAGTTTCTATACATGCTAATCTCCATATCAAATAGAATATTTTATAGACCGAACTTAAGAACCAATAAACTAGAGTATTTTCCCGAACTTAAGAACCAATAAACTGAGCTTTTACATAGATTTTGCTCAAACATAACTTTTTAAAAGACAAACTCAAGAATTTACAACCAAAATTTTATACTGGATTAACTTTCAACTTTTACAAAATAATCTCACAACAAATTAGAGCACCCTTATTACAACAAATCTCTCACAAATTTTTTTGATCTTTTGACACTCCGACAATCTTTGCAAAAAGCAAAATAAAAATAGAGAGTAAAAAAATAATAAAAACTTTTCAATCAGAGTTTTGAGTTTTGGTGTAAACTGAAATGAGGAAAAAACCTCCTTTAAATAAATAAAAAATTGACGTAGAAAGTAAACAATTAAAATTTTTCAAAATACAGAATCATAGTTTAAAAAAGAAAACTTTAAAACTACTATATGTATTAATCTATCAAAAGCCTTTCTAATTAAATAAGATGTTATTTACCTTACTCTAATTGTCTAGATTAATCTATCAAAAGCCTTTCTAATTAAATAAGATGTTATTTACCTTACTCTAATTGTCTAGATTAATCTATCAAAAGTCTTTCTAATTAAATAAGATGTTATTTACCTTACTCTAATTGTCTAGACCAAGTCCTTAATTGAACAGGTCGTGTATATACTTTTCTAATTGATTAGAATTATTTCTTAATCAATTCCATATAAATCCAAATAGGTTATTCAGAGTTGTTCTTTCTTTATAAGAATCATATGAGTCACTACATGATGTATGAAGCAATGCCTTTAAATAATTTATGTTAATCGACAACTTACAATTTCCATCGAATTAATAAAAGGCTTCTAATAGCAATCAATTGTTTGAAGTATTGAGAGCCATAGGATGTTGCAATGGTGTAAGCTTTCCCAAATATATGGTAGCTTGCACACTCTTCCAAATTCTTGTATGGTGAGATAAATTTTTGTTACTGAGGTTTCCGTATAACAATCCGGTTAACATTGAATATGAAGGATTTGTTTTCTTAAACAAAAATTATTTGAGAAGATTCAAACATTGAATAGAGATCGAAGATATGGAAGAATCATGTATTCAAGTATGTCTCTATGAAAACATGGCGATTGAGAAGGAATTTGTCAGGTTGATTTTCTTGAGATTTGGAGGATGCTCCATCAAGAAGAGTCTTCATTGAAGCTATGACGTTGATAATAATAGCAACAAGAAAGAGAAAAAACATAGAATTTTAGGATAAATAAAAGAGTGGAAGAAGTGTACCTTTATAAAACCTTTTGTAACTGTTTAGAATAGCGTGAAAGTTCAATCTACAGAAAATCAGGTCATCTTAATCTTAAAAAGCAAAATAGATTAGAAAATATCTTAAAAACACATCAAATCATGGATGATAAACCTCTAAAAACCTTCCGATATGATATATCTTACATGATTGTCCAACATCGATCTTAAGACAATTGTCTTAGAGACGATTTTATGACTTCCATATCATAGACCCTGCTATCATCATCATGTTCATCACTTGAAGTAAAAGAGATCATTTAGATAATATAGTAGTATTAGAAATTAAGCATATAGTAAGTAAATAAAAATAAAAATCAAATTGATTTGTTTATTTATTTACCATGAAATTAATAGTAAATAGTTAAATTATAAATTGATTTATTTGAGAGGGAATTACAACATAATTGGATACTACCCATTAGAATGGCCTGGTTAATAAAATTTACCATGTGAATCCAATTTACAGAGTTGAAACAATAGCATAAAAGTGAGAGAAAGAGAAATCATTAAAGCCTCTCTGATTTTATCTTGCCGGAATCATTCAGATCTAAGCTTCCACTAACTCAGTCCGATTCACCGGAGTTCAGTTCAGCCGTTGAATCGGATTCTCTCTTACCCAAAAACCCATCCATTCGCTCATTTTGGCATCTCAGTTCCTTTTGTTCGCTTCAAATTTTAGGTGAAGTTTCAATTTTTTCTTCACCCTTCTTGTTGTTTCGTTGTTTTGGAAGTGGGTTTTTGTTAATGTTTGTAATGGTAATCAAAAATTGATTCTTTTCAGGATTTGATTTGGATTTTGGAAGTGGGAGTAGCTTTACATCAATCCTCAAACATGGGTAGCCAAGACAACAACGGTTATTATTTTTCTCTTATTCATGTGTTTCCTCTAGTTGATTCTGTTTATTGAAAATTGGAACTGTTTGGATCCTTTAATTCTTAGATTAGTAATTAGTAGTAGTAATGCTGAATTTTACCAGATTCAAAAGTGCTTGTTTAGATGAATCATAGTGATCCAAGAGTCAATAACAATGCTAACTCATGCTAACTTATTCTGGCAAAAGTTCTAACGTCAGTAGCACTGACACTTCTGGAAAAATGTGTGTCCGTGTCTGTGTCCGAAACCGACACATACCTTTAATTTAATCATTTTTTAAAATTATTATCGGTGTTCACGTATCAGTGGCGGTATCGTGTTTCTGGCATTCGTGTCCGTGTGCTTCATAGGTTCTAACTTATTACTTAGAATTCTGGTATCTGAATGTGTGGTTTTTGTGTATGTATTTGCTGCAGCATTGTCATCAAGTTCATTTCTAGATGACAAATCTGCCAAGGTTTTTGTTTCCGGTCACCGGGGTCTTGTTGGCTCGGCCATTGTTCGCAGGCTGACTCAACTTGGGTTCAGTAATCTTATCTTGAGAACTCACGCGGAGCTTGATCTCACTCGACAATCTGATGTTGAAGCCTTTTTTGCATCCACAAAGCCTGAGTTTGTGATTGTAGCTGCTGCCAAAGTTGGTGGAATTCATGCCAACAACACCTATCCGGCTGATTTCATTGCCATCAACCTCCAAATCCAGACCAATGTCATTGATTCTGCTTATCGTAACGGTACTAAGAAGCTATTGTTTTTGGGTTCTTCTTGCATTTACCCTAAATTTGCACCACAGCCGATCCCGGAGGACGCTTTGCTTACTGGCCCCTTGGAGCCCACAAATGAGTGGTATGCAATTGCTAAGATTGCCGGGATCAAAATGTGCCAGGCTTACAGAATTCAGCACAAGTGGAATGCAATTTCAGGGATGCCGACTAACTTATATGGACCAAATGACAATTTTCATCCCGAGAATTCACATGTTTTACCTGCTTTGATGAGGAGGTTTCACGAGGCGAAAGTCAACAATGCCAAGGAGGTAGTGGTGTGGGGTACTGGTAGTCCATTGAGGGAGTTTTTGCACGTTGACGATTTGGCTGACGCGGTAGTCTTTATGATGGAAAAGTATAGTGGACTTGAGCATTTGAATGTAGGGAGTGGAAAAGAGGTTACTATTAAGGAATTGGCAGAGTCGATGAAGGAAGTGGTAGGATTTGAAGGCAATCTTGTTTGGGATAGTACTAAGCCGGACGGAACTCCAAGAAAACTGATGGATAGCTCGAAACTCGCAGCCCTTGGTTGGACACCAAAAGTCTCTCTCAAGGACGGGCTCGTGGATACCTATAAATGGTATCTAGAGAATGTCAAACAATGATTCTCTTGGTTAAGCAGAATGTGCCATATGATATTTTATAGGTATTTGTCATTTTTCACTATGATGAAGAGTTATTTTAATAAAATAATTATTATCCGGTAACAGTGTATGAACAATTTTTCTGTACCAATTATGTGGGATGAATACTTCAGTGCTATTTTTGCTTTTGTTTTTCTTGTTCAAGCTATCATTGTAATGAGAAGCCATTGTTAAAGACCATGAACCGAAGTTATTTCATGTTCATATGGTTTTTGTTTCAAAAGTGTGTTTCCATTAGCAGTTTTTTGGTGTTCTGTTGTACCAAATTATTCATGTGCCATTTGTTGCTTAGTTTGAGTCATTTTTAGTTTTGATCTTGAAATATTCAACAGTAAATATTAGAAGAGTTTTACAATAATAATTTCTCATGTAAGTTCGGAATCAGTAATCTCGTTTAGTTTCTTGTAAATAAGTAAGTAAAAAATCTCACAAGTTATAAAAAAATCTAAACCACTGTTTGACTTGGTCTTATGTGAACCAAACCATGTCTGGTAATGTGATTCAACAATTTGAATAGTTTGCAAAACAAAGAGGAGTTGTAATGAGGTAGAAATCCAAAGTAGTCTCAAGTGACATGAAGAAGGGCGACTTTATGCTAGCTGGATGGACAACTTGTTCTTAGAACATGGAACTAAGTGAATCTGAGGCATTATTATAGGAGATGCTTATTTCTTAGAACATGGAACTAAGTGAATCTGAGGCATTATCATAGGAGTGTCGCTCGCGCGAAAATAAGGTGCCGGCAAAACAGAAGAGTCGCCACCTTTCGTTATTTATCCCTCAGAGCGGGAAAGGAAACGATCGGAAAAACCTGACGAATAAGGGTAAGACAAGGTCATCGCAACCATTGTCTGGGTTCGGGAGTCGGTTACGCAAGGGGAAGGTATTAGCACCCCTCACGTCCGTCGTACTCGACGGGATCCTCGCTTGTTTGTTTACTTGGACGGGTTGGTTATAATCTATCTACCTATCAAGGCTGGCTGAAAAAGAAAAGAAAAATGACTCGGCAAAGCGTCACACTTTATGCCTACGTATTCTCATCAGAGAATGAGAAATCAGAGTCAACGTAGTTCGACCTAACTACGGGTGAAGGTGGGGAAGGTTGCTCGCTAGGATATCGCATCCTATGCCTACGTACTCTCAACAGGTATGAGAGATCAGAGCTCACGTAGTTCGGGAAACTACGGCTTATTTCCTGAAAGAAGTGTTTTTTATTGTGTTTGCGATTTCAACCGCACTAGAGACTATGACCTGAGAGTGAATGCGTCTCATGTCACCCAAAGGGTACCATACTAAACATCCAGACTGTGGAAAAGAAGCTCTCCCACAATCTTTTCTCAGATAGCTTAAGGCTCGTAACGTACGAAAGAAATCATTCATGATTACTGTATCTTAAACTGTTTTGAAATGAGAAGAGAACAGGCCCAACTAGGAGGGAGACTATCAAGTCCTACTGTTGTCATGCCAAGGATTCATCCTATAGTCGAGGTTTGAAACAGGGATCTCCTAGAAGTTATCATGCATAGGTTTCAACCTAAATTTCTATCATCAATTCCCTATCAAAGGAAGTGAGAGTCCTAAGGGATCATGTCAATGATACGCCAAAACAGACAAAAGCATCAGCTTTAACAGCAAAATGCATGCAATGCAAGTGAGGGAGGAAATGTGTGTGGGGCTTCAGCCTCCACAAGCTTGTCTCGACCTCAAGCCAGTCATGAAATAACAGTAATCATACTGAAAATAAACAACATGCTATCAAGCAATAAACAGTAAACTGCAATCATACAGATAAAGGAAATGAAATGCTATCAAGCAAAATAAGCACATGGGCAAGGGAGCTGGGCTCTACCGAATACCCGCAAGCAAAGCCACGCAATAACAATACAAGCAGAGGGAGCAACTCAACCTCTAATGCAATCATGCTCCTAGACTGAACTTATTCTAGATGAACTTAATCCAATGCAACAGACAAATCAGACAAAACACACAATACATCAAAGAAAACAGAAGAAAGCTTCAGCTCCTCCAGCAGCAACTCAGTCTTCAGACTTCAGAGATCACTTGCTTTCCAGGTATCAACCCTACAACATGAGTATCAACTCATCTTCTCCCTTGAGCTTCAGCTTCTCGATCAGCTCCACCTTCAGGCTTCACTATATTCAGGGATCTTCAGGCATCAACTTGATCTTCACAAAGTCTTCAGACTTCAACAATCTTCAAGGAATCATCCTCTTCAAAGCTTCAGCTTCTATCTTCAAGGGCTCAAATGCTCCAGCAAACAAGATTCAGTCAACAAGATGAGGTGAGGATGTTACAGTGCTCACTGACTTCCAAAGGATGCCATTGAGGACTTAACACAAAAGGGAAAGGCTCTCTCAAAGTTCTACCACAGAGGGCAAGGTCACTAATCCCTCCAAAGGAGAGAGGTGAATACCCTTAGGGGACTTTATATCATAGAGAAGGAAGGAGGTGGACAAGACACTCCTTGTTTATTGAATGGAAGTATCCTATCTAGGGCTCTGCCTATGCACCTATGATCCTATAAACAAAACAAACAAAAGCTATGCTAAACTCCTCTGCAAGGTCTTCAAAGCTTCAATGATGATCCACAAGGTCTTCAAAGCTTCAATGATGATCCACAAGGTCTTCAACTCAATCTTCAAAGCTCACACACTCAAAAGAGAAGGAAAGAAAACAATACAATACAAACTTATGCCTTCAAGCAACACACATACTATCCATACATTCAAAAATCAATGAAAAATACTAAAACACCATACAATATTCTAGTAAAATTCTAGGGGATTCTATGCATACTTACCCTTAACCCATATATTCCCCATACACTAATTTGGCCTATAAATCCCAAAACAAAATTGCTCAAGTCTACCTATACAACCTAAAACCCTAATTAGAACACCTAAATGTCTAACAATCAAACTACATCAAATTTTAATCTACAAATCAAGAAATAAATCCTACATGAAACTAGGGTTCAATGCCTAACTATGCCAAAAAGAATGGCTCAAAAACCCTAAGGGGAAGTCCTAAAACAAATTGTACAAAATCAAGTGTCAACTAAAACATATTAAAAAGACTATTTACAAGAAAATATGCTAAAAAATATTAAACTAAGAATAAAATGGAATTTTTATTTTTAGTAATTTTCTAGACAAAACCATGATTATGTGAAAAAAAGAAGAAATGAAAAATGTTGATTTTTGGATTTTATATGATTTTTTGAATATGCTAGAAAATTAAAAGAAATAAAAATAAAGAATATAAGAAATAAAGGGGAGGGGGTGTCATAAGCAACGCGCCACAGTTCATATATGATTGGGCCAGACATGTGGGAGGTGTGGATAGAAACATTTGCTGAGGCCCAGGTTCATTACTCAATCAAAACGGTGCGTTTGGATAAGTGGTACGCAGCGTTTTGACGCGCTTCAGTCTCCCTCCATTTCTGAAATCAAATTATGGCCGTGCGATCAGATGAAATGGTCAATACTCTGGGATCATCCAACGGTGGCGCTTCATCGTCTCCAAACAACCCTAGGGTTTTCAGAAAACCCTAATCCATGCAAGGATCTTCTTCAAGCTCGTTCTCACTGATTACCCCATGAAACCACAAACTTCCAACGGCAAAAATGTTCTATTAATCCCCAAGAACACAATGATACCAATAGCCTTCCCTGAAACCTCTTGAATCATCCTAACAGAGAGCTCCATCATCATGGTTTCAATTCTTTCCTCTGCTATCAATCTTAATGGAACTTCAAACTAATGATCCAGAATTATTCTACATGCTTCCCTAACCAAACTACGCAATACCATATCCATTAATGCACACAAAATAGCTTGCTATCAATTCTGCAAGAAATGGTACCCTGCCTCGAAACCTCATGAATCTTCCTCTAATCCTCAGAATATAGTCCTCTACCCTAGCTTAACCAGTCTAAACCTAAAACTATGATGGAATGCACATAAATAAGGTGATACGATTGAAGTCACCAACCTGTCAAACTTTAATGGTGGATATGGTTTCCCAATGGCAGATATGAATTCTGTATGCAACAAGATGGATGAACAAGGCTTGAATCTTGTGTTTGATCTCAATATGCTCTTCTTGCAAATTCCTCAAAACAGCTTCAAACTTCCATGGATTTTCCTCTATCTCAGCATGCAATCAATCACAAGGATCAGAAGAATATGCTTGTGGAGGAGAAATGAATGAAGATGGAAGAGAAAGAAGGTTTGATGTGAAATTGCAAATGGAATAATCTCACTTTTTCACACTCTAATCTCACCACTCACCAACAATTATCACCAACCCTGGCCTCATTGTGATTCACCCTTCTTATAGCAATCAAAAGAATGATCTAGATACATCTAGAAACTTGTGGAATCATTTGGAAAGTTTTAAAACTTCTCATGAAATGATACATTGGATATCCATTATCTCATGCCTTAGGCTTGCCAACTTGACTTTAAAATCTCCTCACAAGAGATATTGAGAAAGAATGAGTGAAAAACATGCATTTCCTTGCCTTTTGTGAAGTTTTGTTTAGTTGCCTTATTATGCAAGAATGAGAATTACAAAGTAACCCCCATTTCTAAGCTTCAAATCAAAATTATACTTGAACCATTGTTTTTAAAATATTTTTTGGAGTCAAAATGACATATTGGATGACCCATTTTGGATTTGTACATCTCCTAAACCAAAATTAAATTTCAACTTTTTCAACTTATAAGCCATTTTTAGGTCATTTTCACCCAATCTCGTAAATCCTTGCTACAAGCTCTTTCAATAACTCATGACCACTTTTCTAGACTTAAAATCCCATTTTGAACAACTTTCATGTTTTGATTTTTTCCATTTGAGGCTTGGAAATAGGAGATATGGCCCTTGCTTAAAATGACCTATAACTGCCAAATGACCAAAATACCCCTGTCTTGTTCAA